AGTAGATTTGGGATTGGATTGAGATTGGGGTCGATTGCCTCCAATTGATTCAATACAGACACAGTCTATGCGTCCACACTATGGGTGACCCAAATCACTCATGAGTCCACATATCATACCATAACAAACACGAACACTAATACACTATTGTCTACACATTTAGCGACATTGTAATGACAATCAAATCAAATGAAAGACAATTACCGGCAGAGATGTTGAGGACATCGCACGCGTAGTCTATTTCTTTGGCACATTCCCTGAGCGCCAGGTTCTGGATCTGTGTGAATGACAGGCCACCGGTGCCGCTCGACCTCTGACCCCAGTCCTACACAACACCATACATGACATACGGATCTATGGACAGTGACTGATGGGGACATACCTGCTCGCAGTGGTAGGAGCCGTAGCCGAGGTCGGGCTCAGGCTCTTGCTTGACACGAGTCATGGGATGGCCACAGCCGTAGTCCAGCTGATCCACGGGCTCACACATCTCGCGTTTGATGGGTGGGCACATCCACATGGGGTGACTGTCCGATGGATAATACTGAGGATGAAGTGGTGAGGCATCCATTTTGATGACTGGTTGTGCATTCATTTTAATGCCTATACTATGGCTATAATCACTGTAACTCTGTTTATGGCTCACAACTCGTCGATTCAATGGCAATCAAGTGATGTCTGACAACAAGTGGCTCTCAAACACTACTCTATATATGCGATCAGTGGACAGGTATGCCAGCTATAGGTGTGCTCTCATTACACAACACAACAACACTAACCAACACTCTATGCAAACACCACTCAATACCCATACACTGACAACACATACATCACTGCACGACAGCCAATCACCGCCTCTCGACTCCGCCTCCCGATGTCAACCAATTACGTCACCTATTGGTCGGACACGTCAGTCAACACACCGTTCACTACACGACAGGTGTTTAGGAGACCTAAGCCTCCTATGACTGGCAATGGATTGGCTATAAATGCTAATCATATGAATGCCATAAATTCAATTGTCTTATCATAAGAGATATTCATATTAATTCAGTTATGGTATCAGATATGATAACATTCAGACATTCAGTCATTTATGGACAGAACCCAAGTCTACGTGACTTTTAAATGTCAATATATTTTGCGTTGAGTGCAGCAAACATTTAGCCATTTGTTTGCAGTTTTAGTTAATTTGGTTTACAAACAGTATTTGACTTTTAATTGAATATACAATCAACTGATAAAACACTGATTTGTTTGCTAATACATTGCAGTCATTGCATAAGAGGTAACATAGAAATGAAATAACAGTAAAGTAAACATTGGTTGCTAGATAATGAACTGGATGAATATTAATTGCACAATGATTACAGGGGTTGGTAACTAGGTTTGCATAGTAGTGGACAGTCGTGTGGTTGCAATGGTTGGCAACACATGTCCCACCCGTTCCCTGAGATGTGAAGACGGGTTTCTCATATACTTCGCGAACCTCAGTGTCCACGACGTGGATGTCATATGGATTGACTACGAGGGCTATGAAGTGGTTTACAAGACTTTAAGACACAGACAAATGTTTAAATTGCAGACTTTTGTGAGCCATCCATGGATTTTCAGACATAGACTTACAAAACGTCGGTTTCTTTTTCAAACCAAACCTCAAACCACTTGCCAAGACATCGTCAATAGTCTGACATTCATTGCACAAGAAATACCTGATAATGAGGTTCAAGTGATCTATATTTTCGATATCTTTCAGTCGTTGAAAGAGAAATGCTTTCAATCGGTGTATAAATCGATTGGACTCAACGGTAGTGAAGAACTCAATGAATCCGATATTCCTAGAGCTCTGATCAAAGAGTACCACAAATATGTGAATCTCTTTTTGACGGTTTATGACTCGCGTGAATGTCGGGCACACATCCCATGAGACCATCGATGACCAACTGATCACTGTTTCTATTCACTTGTTATACAATGCACTGAAATAAGAGTTATTAATTTATCTCATTTTATCGATTATACTAATCATGTAAACAATGTCCATATATTTTATACCATAATATTTTCACTTAAATATTAAATCATTTATTAAAATCATAAGTTTATTACAAAACAAGATGTGATTCCCATTGAAATGAGGTTTAATTGAAACTAAATGTTAGTGAAGGGAACAAATGTCTTAAGTAATGGACATCTCATCCGAAACTGAAGTCTCTGTTGATGGTGTCGTTGGCGTAGTTGTTGGTCATCGAGAAGTTGTCGATGGGATGGATGAGTGAATTGTCTTCATTGGACTCAACCATACAATTGATGTGTTCGTCACAAGTCTTGATGTATTGAACGATGAAATCGTTATAAGTTTTGCGATCTT